TTGAGACCACTAATCACAGAAGAAGCCTCTACACATAAATGCTATACAAAAAAGATAGAAAAGTGCTGAGATCTAGCCCAGTGACTTGGTAATGCGGGACAAGTGATAATACAGAAATGCAGATAGTCTGGAGAATACTAAGGTAAAGTAAATCAATATTGGTCAGCGTATCACACAGTAATGCTGACATGCTGGTAATCCAAAATCCACCAAACGCTTCTGTATTCATCAAGTTCAAGAGAAAATTAAGGAGGAATTTTTAGGAGAATATGGTTTGACTTTGTGCAGAGAGAGCATCCCAAGTATGGAAGGTCATGTAGGCGAAGAACATCATTTGAAAGCATAAGGACTGAAATAAAGAAGCTTCTGAATTCTCAGTGAGAGGTAATGCAGGAGTGAAGTAGGTCTAAAGAAACCTTAAACAGTGGTTTAAAATGCCATTCTCTACCTTTGGGTATGGCCCCTTGTTCAGGGGCTGCATTTCAGCTTCAGACAATTCCCAAACCCTGTAGGCAGCAGCATGATGCGCCAGCCTCACCTTGAGGCTCTGCAACCTGGCAGACATAAGTGATGGGCAACAACATCAAGCATGGGAAAAATTATTTTTGCAATAGAATTTCTATATGTATAGAGTCGCAAGACTGAGAGTGCAAGAGTAAAAGGAATGTTATTGTAGGTGCTGAGAAAGAAGAGCAGGAGCCAGAGGAAGAGAGATTCTGCAAGCAGAACCCATGATTTTGAAATAAACCTGGGTGTGAGAGCCTCAAGTGAGAAACTGGCTTGGAGCAGTTAGCAAGTAATGGGACTATCAGCCATCTATATGATACCTGAGAAAAGGAGTTATGGAGGAGGAAGACAGAGGCTGATCTTAGACGTGTTGAGCAAAAGATCGTAATAGAACTTCCAAAGGGCTGATGGGAGACAAACTAACACTAGAGGTGTTAGTTGGGCTTGTGAGTTTGGAGATGAGAGCTAGTGAGGAGACTACAGGACAGTTACAAAACAATTTTTATCTATAAAAAAGTTTTTTAACAATTAGTAACTAGCATTAGAAATTCAATAATTCCTTTACTCACTGGAAGTAAATTATCTTGCTGGAATTAATTTTCTGTATTGACTGTTTTTTCCTTCTAACAATAGAAGTACACATATTTAAGCAGTTTTTATTCTTATGAAAATTATGTCCTATACATAAGTGTTGCCAATTCCTGCCTCAACACTTCCTCATTTGATCCTCATTTCTTTATTTTCCAAAATTCAATGAGCAATCAGAGAGGATCAAATGTCTTGTGTTTGATCAGTAGAACTCTGCATGACAGAAGAAAGTCAGATTATGCCTTGTTTATCAGACTTTGTTTCAAAATGAAGAGCTTTTTTGTATCTTTAGCCTTAATAGATACACTACTGTGGATTTAATTTCCTTTGAGTTAGAATCAAAATTTTATAAGGAAGGAAAAAAAAAACACCAAAACATCCCCTCCTATATTCATGCACTTTAGAAATAAGAAATTGTTACCATGTTCTTATCATGTTCTTCTTTCATGTCTAAGGAGGCTGTGGATGCCCCATCCCTGGAGGCATTCAAAGCCAGGCTGGATGTAGCTCTGGGCAGCCTGGTCTAGTAGTAGGTGACCCTACCAACAGCAGGGGAGTTGTAACTGGGTGATTTTTGAGGTTCTTTTTGACCCAGGCCATTCTACGATTCTGAGTAGCCCTCAGAAAATGCATCATATAATATAATAAGTAACACAACTTATTTCAATTTTTTACTTTTTCTTATTTAATGAAGAGATCAGACTTCAGATTGCAGTTCTACATGCTCCATCTGAAAATTGGCCAGTAATGCATTTATGTCAATGAAAAATGGATCCACAAAGAAACAAAAAAGTGGATGAATTTTTGGCAGTCTTGAAACCTATTCTCTAATTCCTGTATCAAAACAGAAAACACAACTATGCATTTTTTGCGCTAGGGGCTGACCTGCAGGAGAGGATCTCTGCAGAGAGGGACCTGGGTGTCCCAGTAGACAGCAGGCTTTCCCTTTCCCTTTCCCTTTCCCTTTCCCTTTCCCTTTCCCTTTCCCTTTCTCTTTCCCTTTCCCTTTCCCTTTCAGTTTTCCTTTTCCCTTTCCCTTTCCTTTTCCCTATCCCTTTCCCTTTTCCCTTCTCTTTCTCCTTTCTTTTCTTTCTTCTCATGCACACACAGTCACACACACACAAATGCATGTCGTGTCATCAGCTCCGTGCACTGGGTGCCTGAAGGCCAGATATAGCTCAGAGCCTCCTGCTACTTGCTGAGAAAACAGGGCTCAGGGTGACAGCTCAATCTGCAAATGGTGTAAGAGGCTGGAAGCAGCATAGGGTTGTACAGAAGCCTCTACTGAAATCCCACTACCCCTTTTTGGATCCGCTTAAGCTTGCAGTTTTGAATGAGATCTGGAGATGAGAGACAGTGCTGCGGGCATGCAGCCCCTCACACAGGCTCCCGATGTCCATGGAAGTACTGATGTATGTTAAAGGAAATAACATTTCCCTAACCCACCTTAAAATATCATTTCATTCTTCTTCGTATGCTTCTCTTTATTTCCATGCAAAGATGGTTCTTCTCCAACAGCCCAAACAGTGAGCAGGAGTGCTGAGTAGCTCCACAGACATGCTTTGTCATGGACCAGATCTAAATGCTCTCTCAAGTGATTCCCAGGCAGAGCTTAGGAGTCACAATGCTGCAGAAGCCTCTTGCAGGAGGCAGTTTGCAGATAGAAACCTCATTTTTCATAGCACAGAGGAGGCGGTACATTTCTTTGCTGCTGTTCATTCTGTACACAGACAATAGCAAAGCTGGCAACTTGTTCAGGCACTTCAGATCTTCCAGAACTGATTTTCCGACTCTCCAGCTTTCTACTGGCTGTATAGGGAACACTGATGCTTAACTTGGATGCCCAAATTCTGTTGACACCTCTGGAGTGAAGTTACTTCAGTCAGTATAGCCTTAAACCTCTATGTTCTGACTCACTCATTTATTATTTCCTTGCCATGTGTGATAGATAGGTAGAGGATATTTTTGTGTACTGCTCTGGGAATTTGCTTCTCTCTAGAAAACCTGACTAAGTTCACAATTATATAATAACACAAAAAAGCAAAAGTTACAGATATGCTCAAATTAGACAAAACTATTAATAAATGATGATAAATAAAATGGTAAAACAACGATTAAAAGCTTTGAGAAATACATGCCATAAAATGCACGAGAACAATAAACTCCTAAACAGCAATAACAACCAAAAACCCATTATCTCCTCAAGCACTAATATTATCCTAAACAATTTAAAAGTAGTAGTAACAACATACTCAAGAAAGGCAAAATCGCACTTAGGTGAATTAGGCACTAATACCACCTTCTTGCACAGGATGCAAGCATGTAGCAGTCCCTGATAATCTCTGAAACAATTTTCTTGGAAACTGACAGAAAGTTAAAATGGCCCATGTGGAATCGCCCAACTGCATGTTGGCATCAAAAGAGCTTGGCCAGCACGTCGAGGGAGGTGATCCTCCCCCTCTGCTCTGCACTGGTGAGGCCACATTTACACTGCTGTGCCCAGTTCTGGTCACCTCAATTAAGTGAAGTTAAAAGACAGGGACCTCCTAGAAGGAGTCCAGCAGAGGACGACCACAAGGGTGACTGGGGGCCTCCCATGTGAGGAAAGGCTGAGTAACCGCGCTCCGTTCAGCCTGGGGAAAAGGACACAGAGAGGGGATGTGGTAAATATTTATCACTATTACACATAACTGTTATATATAACTATTTATAACTAAAGGAAGGAGGGAGGCAAATGAGTGAGGCCAGGCTCTTCTCGATGGTGTGTAGCAAGAGCACAAGGAGTAGTGGCCTAAAACTTGTACTGAGGCAGTAAAGCGCACTGTGAGCAGGCTTGCTGATGCCACAGAACTGGGAGGAGTGGCTGACATGCCTGAAGGCTGGGCTGCCACCCAGCGAGACCTAGACAGGCGGAGAGTTGGGCGGGGAGAACTTTAATGAAATATAACAAGGGCAAGCATAGGGACTTGTATCTGGGCGAGAACGACCCCACATACCAGCATAGGTTAGGGACTGACCTGTTGGAGAGCCGCGTAGGGGAAAGGGACCTGTGGGTCCTGGTGGACAGCAGGGTGACCATGAGCCAGCAACCTGCCCCTGTGGCCAAGAAGGCCAATGGCACCCTGGGACATAGTAGAAGGGGCATGGTTAGGAGGTCAAAAGAGGTTATCCTGCTTCTCTACTCTGCCCTGGTGAGACCGCATCTGGAGTATTGTGTCCAGTTCCGGGCCCCTCTGTTCAAGAAGGACAGGGAACTGCTTGAGAGAGTCCAGCACAGAGGCACAAAGATGATGAAGGGACCAGAGCATCTCCCTTACGAGGAAAGTCTGAGGAAGCTTTGGCTTGGAGGAGACTGAGAGGTGACCTAATGAACGCTTATAAATATGTCAAGGATGTCTGTCAGGAGGATGGAGCCAGGCTTTTCTCAGTGACATCCAGTGGCAGGATAAGGGCAATGGGTACAAGCTGGAACATGAGAGGTTCCACATGAATGCTAGACAAAAAACTTCATGGTGATGGTAACAGAATATTGGAACGGGCTGTCCAGAGAGGTTGTGGGGTCTCCCTCTGTGGAGACGTTCAAAACCTGCCTGGACACATTCCTGTGTGACCTAATCTAGGTGTTCCCAGCAGGGGGATTAGATTAGATGAGCTTTTGAGGTTTCTTCCAATCCCTGACATTTGGTGACTGTGATTCTGTAACTGGTATGGAGAAGAGACAGCAGCTATTGAAATAAAGACTTGGTAAAAAAAAAAAAAAAAAAAAAACCTACTATTTATTTATGTATTTATGTATGTATGTTTTTATTTATTTATTTATAATAAATAGTACAATTTTGAAGCTCATCTTCTCTTTTCTCGTTCTCTTCTCTCCTTTTCTCCTTTTCTCCTTTCAAATTTCCCTTTTCATTCCCTTTTTCCTTCCCTGCTCCTTTCCTCTCCTCCCTTCCTTTCTTATCCTTTCTTCTTTTTTCTATTGGCTCCATCGCTGAAGACAAAATTCTCTTATTCTCCTCCATGTCTCACTAGAAAAAGTAGAGTCGCAACTTGAGACTATTCACCAAAAAGAAAAGCTGCCTCCTCCCTACATCCCTCTGCAGCAACAGCAAAGGCGGGAGTGCCAGTACCTGTCCGTTGGCCCAAGCGGCCGGGAGAAGTTGCTCATCACGGCCTCAGTGTGACAGCGGGTGAGGATGACCACCGCCTGGCACAGGAAGGGCAGGAACGTGCTCTGCTGCGCAAACGATGTGATGCTGCGCAGGATGTAGAGGATCGGAGGCACCTGAGAGAAGAAGAGGAGAAAGAATGACTTGCTGCATCCTGCACTCTGCAGGGCCCAACCATGGACATTCAGCGCATGAGCAGTGCCTGCTCCCTTGACGTGCTGCCAAGTCCTAAGCCTGAATTTCATGCCAGCTACCCTGGTCTCCGTGCCCTGAGCACAAGGGGCAAACGGCACAAGTCATAGTGCAACAGCCAGCAAAAGTCCAAGACACGTGAAAGAAAGTCTCTTACGTTCCAACAGATGTCCTTCCCGTGCATCTGCAGGAAGGTGGTCATCCACTTCCCAGCAGCACGCACACGCACTCCGTTGGCTTTCCGGATCGTCTCCTTGATGGCAGTCATGAAGTCAACGGTGCGTTCTAGGGGGAAGTTCCTGCACACGATCTGCAGAGAAATGAGAAGCCGGGGAGATCTCATCACTGCTCTGCTGCAGCTGTCTGTACCCTGCTGTTGATACGGAAGGCGGTTGAGCCTTCTCTCAGCTTCTGCACCCATGGTGTTTGCTTACATGCAAAGCCTACCTCCCAGCAGCCACAATCACACATGCATGCAAGTGCACTCACACACACAAACGCACATCATGGAGTCAGAGCCTTGCACTGGGTGCCTGAAGGCCAGACATAGCTCAGAGCCTCCCGCTACTTGCTGAGAAAACAGGGCTCAGGGTAACGGCTCATTTTGGAAACAGTGTGAGAGGCTGGGAGCTGCACAGGGTCGTGCAGAAGCCTACCCACAGAGATCACACCACCCCTTCTTGGGTCCACATACCATGGCCATTTTGGATGTGGTCTGGAGCTGAGAGGCGATGCTGCAGGCATGCAGGCCCTCGCACAGGCTCCCGATGTCACCCGTCTCGATGTCTGTGTTGGTCGCTTTGGCTGGAAAGAGCACAGGGAGAAAAGGGAAGTCATGCTTCTGGAAATGAAACTGCTTTCCACGGGGGAAAGACAGAGGACAGGGTGGGGACAAGAAGAGAGCTGTGCACGGTGCCTCTCCCTCCTGTCAAGGGGGCCCAGCCCGTGGGGCTCTGGTAGTGCTACGGAGGAGGGCAGAGGGCTGGAGCACGCCTGCTCCACTCACCTTGGATTCGCAGAAGGGAGCTCAGACAGGTGACGGCCAGCTGGCGGGATGCAGGCATGGGGTCACACGTCAGAGGCGCCAGCAATCCCACCAAGGAGCCAAAGTGCTCACAGGCATCTCCTCTCTGCAGGGGTGAGAGGCAGGAACAAAGCTGTAGACGGCCCCAGCTCTCCCCAGCTTCTCCCATCTGTGTCTTCCCACCGTGACACAGCATGCACAGCTGGGCGGGGCTCACCTTCGCTGGGGAGGGAGCAGGGGGCATGCGGTGGGGCTCTTTACTCACTTGAAGCTCTTCACAAACAGCCAGCAGCTGGGAGCAGGTCTGCAGGGCCCTCTCGCGCTCCCACACGTTGGTTGATACCATGGATTTCTGCAGGACCTGGGGTAGAGCATCTGTCTCACTGAGGATGTCTTTTCTTTCCCTTCCTGCCACCCCTCTCCCTGTCCCTCCTTTCCCAGCACTTTCCCTTAGGGCCTGCCCTGTTGCTCCATGTGGCCTCCTGCCTCACTGAGCACCGGCACTGCCGCCCCGCTCTCTGCAGACACTCCTGCCTCCTAACCCAGGAGCTTTTCCTCGGCTGTGGCCTCCAGGGGCTGGCTCCTGCTTTCCCCCTGCAGGGCCCATTTCTCTGCCCATTTCAGCTTGCAGTGAGCTGGCACGTCACCAGGAGATTTCTCCCCCTCTGATCCTCCTCTCAGTCCCCAGATCTCTGCCCCCGCTATTGACAGGCACCATGCTTTCTCCCTTGCCCCACGCATACTCACATGGACTATGTTCTGGAAGAAGCCGCCGCTGGGCTCTGTCTCCAGCAGGACCACCATGAGCCGGCCCAGAGCTTTCAGTGCTGTTTGCTGAAGCTGAAAGCAGAAGAGGGGAGTGACGTGTAGCATCACGGCTGCTGCCAGAGCAGAGGTCGTGTGTGCTGAGGTATGTAGGGTTCCGACCGAGAGGTGGCCGGGAAAGTTACGGCAGGTTACCTGCAGGTACTGTGCTGCTTGCTGTGACTTCCTGATCTTCAGCATCATCTCTGCTGAAGGGTGTGTCACGATGTTTTTGCAGCACAGGACCAACATCTCACGCAGGTCCTTGCTTTCAGAAGAGGGCTTCAGCTTGCTGAGAGGAGGAAAACAGGAAGAGAAATCAGAAAGGCTCTTTACCTCTCCAGACTGGTTCAGACAACATCTGAGTTTCTCCTCATTGACAGCTACAAAGCCAATACCCCCACCCAGCTCATGTTGCTGAGCACTGCCTTCAGTTCCAGCAGCGCCCACCTCCTCCCCGGCAGCAGTGAACCACCTCCCGCTCTGGAGGGAAGGAGACCCCAGCTCTCCCTCTCTTCCCTGCCAGGGGACAGGAGCACCAGGGCCTTTCTCCCTGCCCAGAACCTCAGCTTTGCTGGGCACAACAGCCCAGCCGTCTCTCCTGTAGATGTGGCTCCTCCCCCCCGACCCCTCCAGGCCCTCAGGAGCTACCCAAAATGGGGATCACCATCCTGTCTTGCAACCTCAGCCCTTACCTCAGCTGCTCCAGGGCCAGAACCACCTTGAGAGGCACTGGGGAGACAGGCATGCCCGAGTAATACTTCTTCATCAGGTCCTGCAAGTCCCAGAGAGACAGTGTCAAAGTGGGCAAGGGGCACACAAGAGCTGTTCCACCCGGCCCCAAGACAGGCACAACTGCCACACACCAGCCCCATCACTTTCCCATGGAAGCGCTGCAGGATGCAGCAGCTGGTGCAGCCAGCCCGCTGCCCAGCCGCTGCCTGCCAGCACCCAAGGTCCCCACCAGCTGGAGACGTGTGGCTGCTGGACACCTGCATGCCCCCAGGGAAGCGAGCCTTGTGGCGCAGCCCAGAACTCCTCTGCAGACAGCCCTGTCTCCAGGCACTCACCATCAGGATTTCCAGCAGCTTGCTCTTCAAGGAGGGGTTAAAGCTTGCAGAACCACCCACAGCTTGGAAGGCAGAGCTGCAGTCGGTGATGCTCTGCACCAGCGCGAGGTTGTTCTGCAAGTCCTGAGGAGCAAGAGAGAAGAACGTTCTTTGAACTGCGGGAAGGGACAAGGGCTGCAAGGGACACACGGGGAGACAACACTAAGGGAAGGGCTTGGATCTTTATCTGGGCACAAACAGTTCCCCGAGGGTCCTTTGGAAAGGGAAGGCCCATCTCAGCATCCCCCCATGTGGAAAGGCTGCAGCTGGGCGCTCTGACACCCTGGCACGCTTTGAGCTCTCACCCGGCAGCTGCAGCTGTAGAGCATCAGGACGTTGCCCACGATGTCTCCCTCCAGGTGGGCGAGCAGCTGTTGCTTGGAGGCACGCAGTGCCACGCTGCCGTGGGCCAGCATGAGAGCGCTGCGTGTGGCATGAGCTCTCGTGCTGTCCAGCTCCGTCTGTGTGGGAAGAAATGCCTTGAGACACTCGCTAACGGCCCCCAGTGCCCCGCGATGCACCTGGGCTCCCAAGGCAGGAGCTGCAGGGAAAATAAGGCAGAAGAATGCCAAGATGGAAACCCGTAACGCTTTACCTTCTTGCGCCTGGAAATCCTGGCATTGCGGCCTTTGCACAGCCTGGACGCAAACATGGTGAGCGTGGCCAGGACTGTGTGGAAGTTGTTCTCAGCAGCATGGCTGAGAAGAGAGATGATTCCCTGCACAAAAGAACAAGGGGCCGTTGGCACAGGCCTGAATCTACAGGCCTCAATCTACAGCAGTGCGGAGGTTGAAAGGCCTGGAGCAGGGCCAGGAGAAGGCCTCTGCCCCAGGGCCAGAGCAGGGATGCTCGCAGGAGCTGGAGGAGAGGAGAGCTCACCTGGGCCTCACGTGGCTCCTCTGCATTTGCCTCCTCCAGGTGCTGCAGCAGCTTCTCCTGCACGTGGAGGACTCCCTTACAGGATCCCAGCACCGTGCCCAGAGCCTTGTACAGGAACGACTGCACGGGAAGGGAAGGAAGAAGCTGAGATGTGGCAGCAGCTTAACGTGCTGGTGGAGGGCCAGGTGGGAAGGAGCCAAGCTCCCTGGCGGTTGCTGAGAGCAGCTGCGGGGCCGAGCTTTAGCCATCCCTGGGCAGATTGCAGGGAAAGGCCTCTGGGGGGCACAGACTGGGGAAGCAGCATCAGCATCCCGCGTGGGCAGAGCACCAGCCGCAGCCCCAGCCCCAGCCCCAGCTGGACACCTGCAGCTGCACCGCTGGGTAGAGCCGGGGGGAACTCACCTTTTCTGCAGAGCTGCTGGCAGAGCTGCTCAGCCGCTGGCTCAGCTCACAGCTCAGGGCCTCGATCCATGCCTTCTCCTCTATTGTGTCCAGCGACGCCTTCAGGAACTGTTGGAGAACAGGAGAAGACAATGTTCCCTTGCCCTTTGCCTCTTCCCTCACTCCCAAGTTGCTGCAGCCCTCTGGGGAGAGGTGCCTGGAAGAACAGTGCCTCTCCCAGCTCCCCCAGCGTTCCCTCCATTAAAGCCACCCGCCCTCTTCTCCTAAGACCCCCCTGGGCTTGGCACAGAGCGGAAGAGGCAGCGCCACAAAGGCGTGCGGCCGCTCCGCAGCAGCGCTTGAGAGGCTGTTCCTGCCCCACAGTGGCTCACGTGGGAGCGGGGCTACTTGGGGCAGGCAAGCACTTCTCTGCACCGCGCCTCCCGGCAATGCTGTACCTTTAGCAGACGGCGCTCCAACTCGGCAGTGTCCGGGAAGCTCTCATTTCTCCCTGCACAGCAATAGGAAGACAAAGACCCTTACTTGGGATCAAGGCACAGAAGAAGAGCTGCTGCAAAGCTGGCTTGGCCTGGGCACTTGGCACTGCCAAGCTGGGACCTGCACCCCCTCCACAGTGACCTGTCCCTCCCCACAAACACTGCCTCCACAGGAACAGGGAACTAAGTGCTCCAAGGCTGCTGTCTGAGGGGACATGAAGGGCCCATCCATGTCCTGGAACGGGCAGATCTCTGGTGGGATAGGTCCCTGGGCCTCAGGGCTGACTCCCAGGAATGGGAAGAGCAGCAGAGCAAGAACTGGGCTGCAGGCAGTGCTTCCCCTCTGCCATGCTACAGAGCTGCATTTTCACTCCCCCCCTTCCCTTCCCTGCCTCTGCCTCTTCTTCCCCTCCAGTACTTTACCTTCAAGACACTGCAGCAGCAGGGGGATCTCAGTAGCCCACATGGCCCCCACAGCCCTGTGGAACCTGCCGTGGAGGTTTTTCATCAGCAGTAAGGCAGCAGCTTGGAGTTTGCTGCCTGCTACAGGGCTGCCTGCCACCACCTGAGTGAGAGCAAGAAAAAGCAGGGTCACTTCTGCAGCAAGAGCAACGGCTTCCCCCCAGGATGGAAGCAGCTTGGCTCTGCTCTGGCAGGCAAGGAGCAGCCAACAGCTTTGCCCATGGCCACACTGCTTCCTCCCGGCTGCTCGTGGCACCGGCCTCTGGAGCATCTACTCACCAGCAGTCGTGCCAGCAGTGTCTGGGGCGTCAGCAGTGGGCCTGCAAAGAGAAAAAAGTGCTGAGTAAGACTCCAAGACACTGCGTGCCCAGCCACGCGCACCTCCGCTGTCCCTTCTGGGTGCTACCACAGGTCAGCAGAGCCCACTGGGGGAGTTTTTGCTCCTACCCTGAAACATGGAGCTGACAAAATGGGGATCCAGATGTTCTACGCGCCGTCCTGTCAGCTCCTCTCTCTCAGCCAGGGCACAGACACAGCGGGAGACTGGGATCAGCATGCCTGTGTACTGCGCTGGCACCACAAACAGCAGCAGCCGCGGCCACAGGAGCTGTAGGGAACGAGGCAGTTGAGCAGGTCAGCATTCCTGCTTCTGCTCAGAGATGAAGAGGCCTCTGTGAATTTCCCCGAGTCCCGTGTGCTTCAGAGCACATTGGAGGAGAGACCTGGGGTCTTGGAATGGGACGAGGAACACGTGGAGCAAGGGCAGGGAGCAGCAGCAGGGCAGAGCGTGACTTACTTTGGACATCCCTCTCACAGAGACGTCCAGTGATCCCAGGACGTCCATGCACAGCTCCTGGAGAGCTCCTTCTTCCTGGGCTTCCCGGGCAGAAAGGTCTCCGGCTGCCTGCACGACAGTGGTGTTGAAACACTGGTTATGCTCAGTTCTCAGGAGCCTCTCAGGAGGCTCAGGTGTGGCCCCAGCGGTGCTTCTGTATAGCAGCCTCTGAGCAGCACGGGTCTTCCAAAGGAAGATGCTGCCCACTGCCCTTACCCTTCTTCCCGTGGCGCGGCTGAACTCCCTGAAGATGTGCCCCACCACATCCCAGGCTGAGCAGCTCCGGGTGTTCGAACTGAGCAGATCCTTGATGAAATACAGAATAGCCGTCCTCACCTGCAAGGGGTCAATTATGGGTGTGATTTTCCTGGTCAGAAGGCAAAGGGAAGCCACCTGCTCATCGGGGCAGCCCTTTGGGCATGAGCAGAGACAGCAAGAGCAGTGGAGAGGCTTTAGCTACTGAGGTGAGGGCCAGGCCTTAGCACCAGGCTGTGCACTTTCCGTGCACAGCACAGGGACCTGCCCGCTCCACTCTGCCTGCTCTCCCCACAGGAGCCATCATGACCGTGTGGCCAATGCCCCAGCACCTCTCTAGTCACCCCAGCCCTGCCCGTGCTGGCAGCAGCGCCACCACCCCAACAGCACTTTCCTTTCCCAAACCAGCTCACCCGGATGCTGGGGTCGCTGCACAGACGCTGCACAGCCTCGACGACCTGGGGCAGCATCTCCGCCATCATGGGCTCTGCAAGAGATGCACAGAAGCATGAGCGGAGCCACA